ATAATACATCTCAACGATTTTCCGAAGTGGCAACTGCTTTTCTGTGCTATAACGCCTCACAAGCCAATGGCATTTTATTTTTTTTAAACAGTGGAATGTATATATAAATATACTGAAAATTTGATTTTCCATAAATTTCAGAAACGCATTCCGCACACCCGGCTAGGTTTGCAGTGTCTACAGTCCATTTGCCTCAAATATGTGCAAAGGTTGGGTTAGATTAGGGGGGTTCCGGCAGGGGAGAAAGAGAAACTTCTCGACCGAAACAACTTGAAGCATTTTTGGCTCATTGTGATGCCGCACGGACTTAACCCCCTACTGATTTGTATGAATATGGCGGATATCGGCGAGTTCCAATACGTTTAAAAAGGAAAAAAAACTACAGAGAGGAAACCCCAAACATTTTTTTGTCTTCTCTTCGAACAACTAGAAAGAGGAAGTGATGATGAATCGATTACTCTTCTTCCCCAGAAATGATATCTATAGCTGTTTAGAGCACTATGCAGATAGTGAGTGAGTGACATCCACTTCCTGTTTGAAGTCGGAAGGTGGCAAGTGTAACATCTTCTTTTAATATCGTTCTCTTTTCTATTATTGTGGCTTTTGTTGGTTCCTTGTCTTGTTGTATTATACCAAAGAAATGGACAATGGGGATTTAGGTGGAATGCGAGGCAGCAATACAACAAATGGACCGAATGAAGTGAATGGAGCGAATGGAAACGTTGGCATACAAAAGCATTGCATTGCATTGCATTCAGTGCATTTAATTGCATTATAATATAAGTGTATACTCATACAAACAACAACAACAACAACAGCAACAAGCCAAGAGTCAATAATAAATAGCAACGCAAATAAACAATTAGACAACAACAACAACAACAACAACACATTACATGTGTTAAATAATATGTAATGAGAGATTGCTTGAGGGTCGACTGAAGCTGATTGACTGCAACTGAATACAAAACATGAATACTCATTATTCACTTAACATTTGCTATATAGGATTCGATGCAATTGATGTTAATTCAAATTAATTGCTTAAAAATTACGAAACTAATATACTCGCACCTCATGAGTTCATAATTGAGGAAATTGATCCAAATGAATAACATTTACATTTACACAAAATCAAATATTTCTTCTACAGTTCATTTCATATCAGGTCATCTATTCATATATATATACATCTGTTCAATTAATTATTAATATATGCGTTTTTTTCCGAGTAATTCGTAATTAGTTTCAGAAGGTGAAAGACGAATCAAATAATTAATGACAATTAGTTGGAAAATAGATGAGCTTTCTAAATGCGACTCGAATTTTAAACGCCAGCAAATACTAAAGCAGGATGTAAAAGGCATGAAAGGCATGCAAAACAGCTTGGATAACAAGACGCCGTTGAACTCTGTGAATTTCATTGACATTCATTTACTTGTTTTGAGTTTCGAGTGCACTCATTTGCATTTCGGGTCATGGCAGGGAGGCAGGGGGCGGAGGGACGGGGGTTGGGGGGTTAGGAAGGGGCGCAGGGGCAAGTTCAAGGCAATTCGAGCGCTCCCAAAAAGCAATGAAATTTCTTGGCGGCTAAGAAGCGCCGGGCCGTGTCTTATCTTATCAAAATATCAGTTGAAATAACCGAGCGCCAAGTTCTATTTATACTGTACACCTTACAGAGAGAGAGAGAGAGAGAGAGAGAGAGAGAGAGAGAGAGAGAGCGAGTAAAAGAGGAAAGTCCCATGGTTTACATCAGAGTCGACCATCGGTGCCTCAAGGCCACTGAGAAGGTACTAAGACACCTTTAGCAGGGACTCTCACACTGAGCAACAAATTGATAGCAAAGCATGCAAAACAAAAAACGAAATATGAACTAAATTCTCGCTCGATTTAATTTAGAGCAGCTTGTTATCCAAATCATATTTATATTCATTATCAACCCATATAATATCGATGATATGATATTCATTTCGAATGACATTATTCAAGTGAGTTTCAAGTGAGATTTCTCTATTATTTGTACGCCCAGTACTCCCAATTTCGCGCAGTGAACAAGCGCATCAACTCTTGTCGACTGTGGTGGCATACAGGAGTCAATCCAGCTGCTGTTGTCCAGCGAACGATCATCAGCAGCTCTCCCTCAGATTCTCTCTCTCTCTCTCCCTCTATCTCGCTCTCTATATCTCTCTCACTCTGTCTCTCTTTTCTTTTGAATCTTTGCGCACCTATCTAGTCTATTTATCTAACTGTCTCACCTGCCTGGGCCTTATCAGGGCAAGCGATAAGCTGCCTAGTTTTGCAATTTGTTGTTGTTGCTGTCAGCTGTTTTTTGCAGCCAACAACAACAGCATCGACGTTCGTTGTTGTCGCCGTCGTCGTCGTAGTCGTCGTTGTCGTCGTCGTCGCTGCCGTCGCCTTCGCCGTCGCTGCCGTCAGTCCAGCAAAAAAATTCAAATCAGTTCCCGTCGCGTCAACGGCAACGTCGGGAGTTTAAAGCGTCGCGCTGAACCTTTTTTGCTTGCCTTATTGCTTTTATTATTGTTGCTCCGCGAGTGCGTCTGTGTGTGGGTGTGCGTCTGTGTGTCTTTCTGTGTGTGTGTGTCTGCGTGTTCTGCTTTAAGTTATAACAAATCAAATAAAATCCGAATCAAATACATAATAATTAAAGGCAATCCCAGACACATTTTTTGTAGTGTATTTTTGGCAACAATTTTAATTTGATTTAGTTCGTTTTTTGGTCAACATGTTTACAAATTGTTGTGTAAAATGCCAAATTTGTGAATATTGTTGTTGACATTGTCGTTGATACTGACGCGTCTGAGTTTTATGAAATTTATTTAATCAAAAATGACGCCTGCATATTTATGGCATTTTCTGGGTACGTAATTTAGAGATTTCAAAGTGCATTTTGTTGCCCAGCTAAATTCGCAACACGCATTTTCATTTATTTTCATTTATCACTCCCGCATAGACTTCGATTTTTAATTTTTTGACATTCATCGTAACTCAACCCATAAAACAAAGCATTGAACCCAGTAACATACATACAACAAAAACTGTACTTTCTATCCTTTCTGGAAAATATGTTTACATCTATGCCAAAAATCAAGCTCATATCGACGAAAAATTAGGGTTTCCTCTCAAAATTAGGTGATTCAACTTAGCACTTGGAACCTAATATGTTCCTTCGTGTAAAAACACATGTTATTCACACTTTTCAAGCTAGAGTTACCAAATTGGATGGGAGATTACTGGTAACCTCCGTCAAAGATCGAGAAATCAAATTCCTGTTATCAATTTAGGGAGGTGTTTTATTGGTACCATGCCTCGGGGAATAAACACCCATCATCGAAATATAGATGGTGAAGCTCAAGTTACCAAACATGGAAGGAAGTTGCTAATTACTTAGAATCAAGATTGGTAGAAACAAATTTCCCGTTCCACAGCGGAATAAGCGGTTATAATTATAAGCGTATGAAGCAGTCGCCTACATTCGAATAATGTTCTCCTTTTGTTTTGTTATTTTTATATTTTTTTTATTTTATTGTGGGTGGCTGTGTGTTTGTGTGTCTACAATTATTCGCGGTCAAAGTTTTAATGTAAATATTATTATTTGCTATAGTTGCTATTTTTAGCTGAGCTTATTAGCAACCTACATTGAATCGCGCTTCGAAAACTTGAATAAAATTTGCCATGCTTTAGTTAGCAACTTCCGAACGAAGTCTCTATATATCGAATTATATATGTATATACTGAGCTACCTACTTGAACGAACGGGTCGGATACTTAATATGATAACATTGTTGCATTCACTTTTTTGTTTTTTACCTTTTATAAGCTGGCGGCTGCTGCTGTTGCTGCTGCTGCTGCTCTGTGATAAGATTATAAAGTCGAAAAAATCAAAATCGCCTCTAGTCGCGTGACTCGCCAAGTATGCAAAACGGCAACAATGTGCTACATATTTGAAATGTGTTCCGCCAACAAGTGCTGTTGGTCAGCAGCCGCTTTAAGACGCAGAGCAAGCAAACAGAAATATAGATAGACAGTCGGACAGACAGTCAGACAGACAAATAGACAGACCCCCAAACACTGGCCCAGTTAACAAATAGCAAATGTCAAAGGCGCGTCCTCAAAAGCGTCCTTGTCCTCTCAGTGGATGGCTAGTGTCCTCCCATAGAGATGATGCATACTTTGCGGCGCTATGCATACATTTGTCTGCATATATATAAAAAAAATAATAGAGGCACTCTCACAGGAAATGTTTTGAATTTGTTAGTTTAAGCAACTTGCGAATACGTTCTTAGAAGTGGAAGTAGACGTTAAGCAAAAAGTGAGAATCAAAAAGAAAGAAAAAACAGACTTTCATTCATCGTTTTCAACTTATTTATGCGACCTATTTTATGAAACTGAAAGAAAATTAACGAACAAAATAATGGCACCCTTTCCCAAATGTGCACTTGTAAATAAATGAAAATTATAAATATATAAACGATTTCTATAAAGTGCATAAGTAGTGATTTTATCTATTTCGCTACAAATATCTATGTTTACATATATATATATATATATTTATTTATTTATTTGTTTTTGAAAAGTAGCTAACAAGATAATAGCGCCACTTATACTTTGAAAAGAATTGCAAGAGCAGTACTAAATATAATGTTTGGGGGTTGATAATTTATAATATATGAAAAGTCAACAATGACGCCAACTCTTATCGATGTTATTTATCACTCGATCAGCAGAGTTGCTTCTCCCACTTTCATATATGGTTTTGATATCGATTAACAGTGTTGCTTAACATAATTATTATGGCGGTTATATTTAAATGAGTTATGCTTAAAGTAGTAAAGAGTAGTACTGCTATTGTAGTGCCATAATATGTACACAGCTCACACAGACATAAATACTGAGGATATTTCACAAGGCCAACAGCATTTCGCTAACTAATCTTTCTCCATTTGTTTTGCTTTGTTTTTTCCATGTCGCGTTCATAATAGTCGCGTCGGCAGTCAGTCAGCTTTACGGCAATGCCACCGGGTGTTCTAGTCAACGATAGCCGGGCCAATTCCTCCGATGACATACAAATCGCCCTAGCGCCGCACATCCAAACCTATCTAAGTCAAACCGGACGCCGGCACTCCTGCTGCAGCGTCATGCTGCCGGTGGCCTTTGAGCGAGCAGCCGCCAAATCATGGCTAGATCCCAAATTCGATTCACCTGTGCTCGAGGAGCAGTTCCAAGCCAGCGTTTTTCCACACATTCGCATGCGATACAGGTGAGTGAATGAGCGGCATAATTATCTATTCATGAGTAGTGAATGCATGAATGCATTTGTCTCCGGTTTTATCGCTACCAAAATAAAAAAATCAAAAGAAAATCAAAAGAAATAATTTATATCTGCCTGCTTATGTGAGCAATATGTTATATATTTCTATAGATGTATATATGTATGTAGTAATGTAGTATGTAGTAGACTCGACGGGCGTAACCGGATGCGGAATACTCTGATATCAATGTAATACTAGCTGATAACAGATGGCAATAGAAAAACTCTAAAATTACGGCAGTTGAAGGCTTTCCTGATTTTTGTGGGCGCGACTAAAAGTCGTCGAGTATTTTGAATGCCCCAATTTTTAATGACACTCATATAATGATTAAATGAACAATCAAAAAGGCAGCAAACTAACAGGCTATTCAAAATATCGAAAAAAAATTTAGCATTTTTTTAAATTCATTTCCCATATTTAGAAATTATTTCTAAAAACAAGAAAAAACATTATAGTTTTCAGAACGTTTTTTCTGAGTGTATGACTTTGCAAAGCGGGCAGGCCAAGGTATGATATTCCCGATACCTTTGTGCATGGATTGTCTGCTTCTTGAGAATCCTTGGCTCTGTCTGCTCCTCGGCATGCTCAACCATCTGTGCATCTTTGTCAAGAAAGTCTGACCCGAAATAGCAAATCCTTAAATCATTCCACTAACATGTTGGAAACACAGCCACCCAATGTTTGAATCAACAGACACGCAAATTGCAAACCTTCCGCTGCGTTTTTTTTTATATTTTATTTATTCTATAGTTCATTGCTCGATAGCTCCTCATGACTTGTGTCTAGTTTTTGTCCACTTGCTTGGCCCAAGAACAAAAGCAACCCAATTCATGTGTTCCGGGTATATTGCCTTGATTAACAAAATTAACTTAACAGTCGAAAGCTGCAAAGAGGTTATTGCGTCCAAAGAAAAAAGTTCACGGCAGCTTTTTGTGTCCTTAGCTAACCTTATTTGCTGGTCTTTATTCTCGGCTTATTCACGATTACTATTAAGCATGCGACAGCAATTAGTATGATTGTCCTTTCAGGCCAAGTTGCCAAGCAACTAAAATACTCCACAGACTGCTGCAGTTTGAGAATGAGCAAGGGCAGCAGACCTGTATTTCATTTATGCTATAATATATACTATGCATACATTCTTGGTAGTGGCTGAGTTGATTGAGCCATGTCCGCCTCTCTGTCAGTTTCTATGCAAACCCCATTAATTTTAATTCAAACCCCATTAATTCTAATGTTATTCTGCTACTAACAATTTGGGCAAAAAATAAACTCAACATCAGCCAATTATATCATATTGCTTCTATTCATTCACATTCAGATATTTTTGGAATAAGTTTATATTTTTATCAAATGCGTTTTCTTTATTTGATGGTCGTAAAGCTTATCGATGTTTTTATCATTCGTGCATTTCTATATATGGTTCTTAATATTGATTAAACCATTAATTAGATATATGGTTATATTTAAATGAGACATGCTTATGGGTGAAGACTAGTATGACTGACTATTAGTATCAGGTGAACTCATGTCTGACAGTGCATATAAATCTTCTGATAAATATGCATATTAAGCTTGTCTTAAAGGGTTCTGTCGAATCCTTTAATTGTGTACCGGCTATAGTTATATTTAGGCTAGCTGTGGAGACAATTGTAGTACTTGCAATCCATCATTCGAGAAGCAAACACATAAATATTTGCTCTTCAGTGTCTCATAATTTTCTGATTTGCTTCAGTTGCTACACTCAAAAAAAATGAAATCGCCCTAAAATGGAAATCGTCTAAAAATAAGACAATTATTCTTGTGTTTAGAAATAATATCAAAATAGAAGAAAACATTTTTCTTAAATTATTATTTGCCATAAATCGACAATTCCTAAATTATTTATTTTCCTATAGTTTGTATTATTAAGAAATGCATATCAAATGCAAACCGTGATTCTTATAAAATATTGTCATGCAATTAGCTCTGTCAAAAGCATGGCTGAATTTCTAAAAATCGGCGTGATTTTTTTCTGAGTGTAGTTAACCTGTGTTGGTTTTTCTCTGCTGATTAAATTGATTTGTTTTTCATTCACATTGTAGATTCACATTGTCGTACATTTTACTGTGCTCTGTCGTGTGGTGTGCGTATTTTGTGATCGATGGCGGCTCGGAGGACTTTTGGCGTCCCATCTCAACGTCGTTTTCAATGATGTCACTGGTGACGATAATGGCCATGTGCTTCACACACTGGGAACTGTACAAGCAGCACAGGATCTTGACGTCGGCGTTGACAGCATTAATCCTGTGCAGCGCCTCGCTGGCCTTTCTCACGTACACGGGCAGGGCGTTCAGTCCATTAGGTCACTTTGCCATCTGCCTAGAGATCGTACTGCTCATCTATACAGCGCTGCCCATGCCGCTCTGGCTATGCGCCAGCACTGCAATCTTCTATTCGATAGCCTTCGAGCTTGTCTCCCACATGGTCATCGGGCTGAGTGCTGTGCATAGCACAACAACGGATATAGCTGCCATCACAGGAGAAGGAGAAGGAGGAGCAGGAGTAACAGCTGAAGGTGGCAGCGATCCCAGCCACAAGATACTAATGCTAAGAATCCTGTCGCACTTGAGTGTGCACCTGGTGGGTGTGCATGTGCTGGTCATGAATCTGGTGCGGATGCGCGGCACCTTTATGAAGGTGGGTCAAAATCTGCTGGTTCGCCGCCAGCTGGAAATGGAGAAGCAGCTCAAGGAGAAGATGATACACTCTGTGATGCCGCCCAAGGTGGCTGACATGCTGCTCAACAAGGGCGGCGATCCGAATCAGATACCGGAATCCCATTACATGCGTCCACGCGCCTCCCACGGTGTGAAGTCACTGTTCCGGCCATTTCATATGCACAGCATGGAGGATGTTAGCATCCTGTTCGCCGATATTGTCGGCTTCACGCGGATGTCCTCAACCAAAACGGCCGAGCAGCTTGTCGAGATTCTGAACGATCTCTTCGAACGCTTCGATGACCTCTGCACTCTTAGCGGTTGCGAAAAGATCTCCACCCTGGGTGATTGCTATTATTGCGTATCCGGCTGCCCCGAGCCCCGTGCCGATCACGCCATCTGCTGCGTAGAAATGGGTCTTGGCATGATTGAAGCCATGCGCTGCTTCGATGCTCAGCGCCACGAGGGCGTCAAGATGCGCGTCGGTGTCCACACTGGCACCGTACTCTGCGGCATTCTGGGCACCGGACGCGTCAAGTTCGATGTATGGAGCAACGACGTCAACCTGGCCAATAAGTGAGTATATAAAAATATATATATATGAATACCTATTCATGTACCATCGAAATGCCTACTATCAATATGTGGTGAATATCTCATTCATATACCGTCAACTATGTGGTGAATATCTCATTCATATACCCTCAACTGAACTGAATCCATTAGAAATGGGCAAAAAGTGTAATATGATATAATATGATTGTGTGGTCTCAGAAACTCTTCATTGATTCACAAATACCACATGCTGGCACAATTAGTTATAATTCATCGATAGCCCAATATCCATAAGAATCGATTACCGATTACGCCTGAAAAACTGTCTGCTGCTGTCTGTCTTCTAAAGTACATTAGATATTTAAAACAAAATTCCGACCGATTGTTCTTAAAGAACTACACTTCTCTTGTGTGTGGTTTCCACAGTATCCTATCCGATTCACCAAAGCAGATTTCATCAGTGCATGCAACAACGGTTGGACCATTTTGCATTTAAGTACTCCCATAAATCTTAGAAATATATCTTCTTTTTTTATTATTTAAATATTACATTACATAAATATTATTTTGAATTGTGTCCTTTTTGAATTGTTCGCCCAGAATGGAATCTTCAGGGAAGCCAGAGCAGGTGCACATTTCGCAGGAGACGTCGAGCTTTCTGGGCGACGCATACTACCTTGAAGAGGGAGAGGAGGTCTTTGGTAAGCATCCAGCAGCTGGTCCCGTTCTGGCACTGCCACTGCCACTGCCAATGCTAATGCTTATATTTATGTTTCAGGTCATCGCACCTACTTTGTGGTTGGGCGCCGTCGGGACATATCGCGCACCAATAGCTTGAGGTCGTGCATAACGGTTACTGCCCCTGGCGTCAGTTCGCTTATGCTACCTGGAGCAGGAGCAGGAGCAGGTGGTCATGGCGGGCTTGCATCGTTATCGCAGAGTGCGACGAGCATATCGGTGGTGCATTCACATGTGCCACCCGCCTCGCCAGTGGGTCAGCTGTCCAACTCGCTGAAGTCCTCGCCGGTGCTCTCAATGCGGCCACGCCTCACCTCGCTGAGCATTAAGCAGCGCAACAAGTCCCAGTCGCACAGCCGCAACCGAGATGTGGAGCGCGGCATTATAAATCCAATTGCCACTGGTATACCGCCGGTGATTGTGGTGCGCGAGAGGCCCAAGATTATTATAACGACCAAATCGCTGCCGGACAGCCTTGATTCCGATGAACAGCAGCCAGCCATGGAGCAGCAAAAGGAACAGCAGCAGCAACAGTCCGGAACACGTTCCAATTTCAAGCTCAAAGTGCTAAAAATAACCAAGTTTCTGAAACTGAATCCAAGTCGCAAGGATAAAGTAGAGGGCCCCGATAAGAAGCCAATCCGCACGAACTCAAGTTGCTTGCCAGCGCCCGGCGATGAAACGGTGGCATTCATTGAGCCAGCTGCAGCGCCAGTCTTGAACGGCTGCGGCTATCAACAGCTGCCCGTCCTGGTCGAGACGACGTGCAGCACACGGTTGGGCAGCACCCAAAAGCTGGACATACCCATGTCGCGGCCAGTGCTGCATCACGCGGCCACTTCGACGGCCCTCTCCAGCAATAATATCCTGCGATCCCCCGATGCCAATGCGGCAGCGACATCTGGACACACGGCCAGCGGCGTCGGTATTGGTGGCAGCTGCTGCTCACCGGGCCAGTATTCCATGTACGATGACATCATCGATGTGCGCTCCTACATCAGCCAGTCGCGCAGCGACATATCTCCCTTTGGCCGGACGGGCAGCTATCGATCCCAATGCGGCCGTCAGTCAGCGGCTCCATCGGTCGGTCAATCCGTGGAGCAATCACCCTTGCCACGCCCGCGCGCCTCAACACTCTCAGTGGGACGAGCACCACTCGGCACTGAGCCCAGCACCAGTGCCAATGCCAATGCCAATGCCAATCCTACGTCCAGTGGCAATCCTTGCTGCTTGCCAGCACCCGCACCTGGCGCCAGTGCAACGTATACGCATTCGCGTAACTCGAGCATTTGGCCGGATGGCTTGAGCATCTGCCCGTCGGCGACGTCGCGCAAGGATTCGGGGATTAAGAGTAATTCGCGACGCAGCTCGATACAGCAGCAGATCTATGCGCTGAATCAGTCGGCGATTAGCCAGCATCGCGTCTCCGGCTACTTTACCAGCTCCACGTCAAGCATTTCGAATCTTGGGGAGGCGGGGGCGTTGCCGTTTCCATTGCCACCGCCACCGCCAGCAGCGGCATCGATGGCGCCGCAGATGGTTGATCCGCTGGCCGCATGCCTGCAGCAGCTGCGCAAACAATCCGATCTGCAACTGATACGCTGTGTGCGAGACAACGATCTCTCGCAGCGCAGCTATCTGGTTAAGCCGCCGTTGCACGGCTTCAGCTTGTACTTTGAGTCGCGTGAGCTGGAGAACGACTTCCGGTCCAAGGCGCATCGTTTTGGCAGCGAGAACGAGACGGAGGGGCCGCCGACACTGGCCACGCCCCGCTACAACACATACATTGACATCTTTGTGGGCATCGCTGTCTATCTGTGCATATCGATATCGCTCTTCCTGATGACCCAGAACACGGTGACGCCCAGCTTTCGCCTGTGGGTGACGCTCTTCTCCTGCTTCACAGCCATCCAGGTCTTTGCGCTCTTCCTCTTCACGCGCCAAATGTGCCGCCGCCATGGCACCCGTACGCGCTCCAAGTCCGCTGCCAGTGCAAGTGGTGGCAACAGCGATGTGGCAGCTGCAGCCGCAGTCGCAGCAGCAGCAGTTGCTGCAGCTGCTTCTGATACGCAGGTGCCCGTGCAGCAGGAGCAGGACCAGGAACAGGAGCTCGAACATTTTGAATCATGCGCGGATCGCATCTTCGAGGCAATATCCAGCTGGTATCCCTGGCACATCTGTTTGGCCGTACTCATGGCCATGCCCGTCGTCCTGATCATCGCCAACTTTCTGCTGCTCGATCTCACACAACTGGAGGCATTCGAGTATCATTACGGATTCCTGATCTTCGTCTGCATCGTGCACTTCTGCAATTTTACGCAGCTCAATTGTTGGATGCGCAACGTATTGGCCTTAATGGCCGCTCTTTGTTTCGTTGGCATCGCCGTCTCGCAGCTGACCGTCTACTCCAGACGGTCGGTGAGTGACGCGGATCAGGAACTGGAGCCGGATCTGAGCAGCACGGCGGCAGCGTCATTCATCTTTGAGGAGATCAAATGGTTTGATGACTACCACGTTGAGATCTATTTGGATCTGTTGCTGATACTGGTGCTGGTCTGGTTTCTCAATCGTGAATTCGAGATCGGCTATCGGCTGACCTTCTATGGCAATGCACGCGCCAACCAGGACAAAATACGTGTGCAGAACATGAAGAACCAGGCGGATCTGCTCCTCCATAATATCATACCCAAGCATGTAGCTGAGCATCTCAAGAATACGGCCAAGTACTCGGAAAATCATCACAACATCGCCATCATCTTTGCGTCCATTATCAACTTCAATGAGATGTACGAGGAGAGTTACCTGGGCGGCAAGGAGTTTCTCCGTGTGCTGAACGAGCTCATTGGCGACTTTGATGAGCTGCTATCGATGCCGAAGTTTCGTGCTGTCGAAAAGATTAAGACGATCGGATCCACTTTTATGGCTGCCAGCGGCTTGGATCCATCGCATCGGGGCACCGGCGATGAGCACATCCACACCCTAATGGAGTTTGCCATCGAAATTCAGCGGGTAGTTAATGAGTTCAACAACCATCTGCTCAACTTCAAGCTGATCCTGCGCATTGGCATGAATATTGGCGATGTGGCTGCCGGGGTTATTGGCACCAGCAAACTCTACTACGATATTTGGGGCGATGCTGTCAATGTGGCCTCCCGCATGGATACAACGGGTCTGCCCAATCGCATACAGGTTGGCAAGGATTGCCTGCCCTTTCTATCCCCCTTGTATGAGTTCAAGTCGCGTGGCTTCGTTCCCGTCAAGGGCAAGGACGATATGGAGGTGTTTATCTTTACCGGACGTCAGTCGCAGCCGGAGGAGGAGCAGGAGGAGCAGCCCACCCTTAACGCAGAACTAAATAAAAACAAATGTGAAGATAACGAGGAGGAACAGCAAAAGTTGCAACAAAATGAGACCGAAGAAAATAATAGGGATGACGAGAATGCTGACGATGATAATGTCGATGATGTCAATGATGCCGACGATGCCGATAATGATGATGATGATGATGACGTTGATGATGATGTCAATGATGATGATGATGATGATGAATGCGACATACACTCCAGCGAAACAACAACGTTGTTCAAGTCACAGGAATCGTTGAATACAACACACTCGAATGGCGGCAGCCACTTTAATGCAGCAAACACAGCTGACACAAACAAAGTCAAATCAAATCGAAATCAAATCAAATCAACTTAAATTGTGGCTTGAAGCACTTGGAAAATGGTTTCAAAGTTGCATTTACTGACTGAACAAAATGTTGGCCAAAACAGTAGCAGTAGCATTATCAGTTGCCACTGAAATATGTTCTTGGCGTGTTGAGATTATGTTGAATATCTATGTATATCGTCTGTACATTGTACATATATATAAATATTCATGAATAACATAGATCTGGATTGAGCAATGTGTATGTTTAACTTGCATTAGCCACTTATTTAACAGTTAACTAACAAAAAGAACAAGATCGACATACATATTTTAACTGTATGCTTGTTTGTAAGTGTTGTATTTTTATTTAATCTTTTTTTTATTATTCTAAGAATGTATTTTAATTGTAGCTTAATTTATTACTGTATAAATAAATTGCCAATAATTTAGCACACACTAAACTAATGGAAATCTGTGGCTTTAAATGTATTAAATGTGTCTCCTCAGACTTAAGCTATAAAAAAGTTAGACCTAATTTTTTTTTTTTTTAATATAATTGCTGAAATTTTAACTATGTATGTATGTAATCGCATTACATCAAACTAACCGAAACAGTAAAAATATTATAAAAAGTTGTCAATAAGAGACGACAACCAAGAAAGAGAAATTTAATGTGTTACATGTATTATTGTTGTTATCATTAATGGTGTTATTGTCTTTCGTAAGACATGTGCAACAGCATAAATGTAGAAAAATAAAACGTATATATATATATATATATATACACAACAAAGTCGAGAGGGCATGCATAGGAGTTAGCCTGAACCCAAGTCTTGGGAAATGGAATATAAATTATGGACAGAGAGCAGCTGCAAATGGAAATGCTTCCTTCTGCCTGTTTCAAACATTTTTGCACAACAGTATACGCTTATAATAAAAAATATATGAACTAACAAGTATGCACTAGTCGAGAGGGCTCGACTAGAAGATACCCTGAACGCAATTCTCCACCTATCATAATTGTAATTGTAAATATGCATAAATAGATATGTTTTCTTCCGTGTTTCTTGTCGGTAACATTAATGGAATCTTAACAGTTGGTCAATATTTACATTCCCAAAAATAGCTATATTGTGGCATTTATTCTTATTGATAAGCGATTTTCATCGTTATCATGAAAACGGGGTAAATCATCGAAAATAAAACTATATCTGCGTTTGGTATACAAAAACCAACATTCCAATTCTGATGATATCTACACTTTATCACCTTACAGTCAGGCCTAGCGATAAAGTCTCGCACATACTGCACTTTTGTATATTTTGTATCTGAGCAATGAACTATGCGCTCATCGCAACATAATTAAATCAAACTGAAATGAAACAACTTTTTTTCGATTTTATGTATTTTTCTCTAAGCTAAGCTGCTTACAACAATATTTGGAGAAAACTGAAGAATCTTAAAATGAAACGCTGTAATCTATGGACCCTCTTGTATTTTTATATATGTATTTTATGTGTGTATCAAGTAAAACAAAATTATTTTCTACTAATTTATTGAACTATACTATATAAACTAAATATATATATATGTATACATATACACTTACCAATTGCATACATATACGTAAGCAGATATTGAGCCGAAATTGAAAATATTGTTAGCCATTTTAAAACAATTTCTGTTTTTTTTTTAATAAAAACACAAAACATGGTAAATCAAATCCCAAACCAACAAAAATTTAAACATAAAAGAAATGAAAATACAAATCTAGATACATCATTTGGAGGTGTTAGCAAAATAATTATACTAATGATATTTTATATTGTTGTCTACTCTTAAATGTAATTGTTTCAATGTTAAGCAATGCCGATGTTGCCACTACAATTATTGCCCAGTTGTCCAATATAGTCTAAACTGGAGACAACCAAACAAAAATCTGTTCTAGCGTTTTTTTTTTGTTTTTTTTTTTTGTAGCAAAAATGTATTAAAATATATTTGTAAAGTAAAAATAAACCACTGCAGTGTCTATGTATGAATGTATACTCTAGCACAAATTTACTGTACATTGGGCGGAAATTCCTCGACCATTCAACAAACAAGTCATCAATGTACAATTTAAATGTGGTGACTCCAGCTCTAAGACTGTGCAAGGACTTGTGGAGGCAGACATTTTTACCAATCTCCGGAGAGGGTTATTAGAATCTACATTCCAAATTTGGGAACTCTAATGCTAGCTATAAGATTTCGCAATTCCTTATGGGCGTTGGCCGATATTGTGAAAGATGGAAGATGTTACCAGTGGTATGTCTTTCAAATTTGGTGAATACAGCTTAAAAAAGATTTTAACATGAGTTTCCAGATAGAATCGTGTTTCCAACTTTGAACGCAGATCTCATATTATAATTTTAACATGCACTTCGAGTTCAAGAAGCGCTTCCAACTTTGAATGCAATTCTCATATAGAGATCAAACATGAGTTTCAAGCTAGAATCGCGTTCCCAACAATGAATCCTGAATTTCACAACATTTACGAATCCTTGCAACGCCTGAGCTCAGTCACAGGTGTAGTCCAGCGGCACCAGCGATAAAGATGAGGCTAGTCTTGAAAATAAACAGGCGACGCAAGAATCAAATCCTGACTGCTAGAAGCGATAGTCGGACAGAAGTAAGCCCAGAATTTGTGCCTCGACCGAGTTAGCCTAGCTGATATCCGGGATATCCGAACCGATATCAGCTCCTGCTGATAGTAATGAGATCAATATGAGTGCAGGTTTTCAACTAAGAACTTGGGTGTTTCTTATCCGATCTTGATGCACTTTGTACATTTGATCAATGATATGTCAAGTGGAAGGCTCTGTTTTTAAAATTGTGGCTTTTGAACTGCTTGACTACGAGATATCGTGACTGTTCAGCAAATAAGCGTTGTAAGTATTTTTTGAAGTTCAGGGAACTTAAGCCCAATTTTTATACCACCCCGTTTAACACCTAACTTCTATGTTCAACGAGGTCTGCCTGTAATTCAGACGCTGTCGATCGACAATAGATACCAGAACATTGAGAGTCTCACCTGAAGTACAAAAAAACCAATGTGAAAATCAGACGTAACCAATTGTGGAATATTCTGATAACAGTGTAATGCCCGTTTATCACAGATGGCAAGCGGAAGTGGGGCAGCAGTAGCAGTCGGGTGTGCCCCGACAAGTTGGTGAATCTGCCCCAAAAATTATTGGTTCTTGATGTGGGCGTGACCGGTTGATTTGTTTCGCTCTTTAAATGGTGTTATCAGTAATCCACCAGTCTAATTTAGCGACTCTAGCTTTGTGTGAGATATACGATTTTATCGATTTACACCAGCGTATCCATACAATTTTGTTACTGATACTTGAAGGCGATATTTTCGGTATCAGAGTATAAAAGTACGTTCAACCAGTCTAAAAGTTGAATTAGTCATAGCAATGCAACATAATCAGAGAGGGTGTCATAATTTTCCGACTGTACCTTTAAAATTGTGGGAGATATGTGGCTTTATCGATGAACGAACATCGATTTTATCTATTTCCAATCCTCCTAGTGGACGTGGCACAGTAATTTTAACTTATTGTCTGACGCAGATCAGAGTATATATATATATATGTATATGTATATCAGTATCTAAGTTATAAGGCTCTAACCTTAAGGATTTCGAAGCTGGTTGCGTTCATACAGACGGACAGACAGCATGACGGCATTATACAAATCCAATATACTCTGGATATCTTCGGTATCAGATTATGAAATGTTCCAAGTTTTTCTTAATATCTGAAAGGACCTCCTATTGCCATTCAGTTAACAAGGCCGTTTTTTTTTTCTTCCTTACTGCAACATTGCGCTCTTCTCTTCTAGACCTCCCAGCTTGCTAGTGATTTGGAGAGCAAAGTCATCAGTGCTTAAATATTCTTTAACGACACTGAGTATAATTGTTTCTTCACATTCTCCAGAATCTGAACATTGCTTTGCGCAAATCAAGTAATAAATCTTGAAGTCGTCGTTGCATTTTTCCCCAAATTTTAATAAAAATCACTGCAAAGCTGATATCAAATCAAATCTAAATTACAATCTATATAATAATTTAAACTGCAAAAATCTCGACCAAAAACACCGAATAACGTAACTATACGCGATAAGCATGAAGTGTATAAATCATTTTTCGTACAATAATAATACATTGCCACACGAGACTATTTTCTCTGATTGGTATAAGTCGTTGTTGTTGTTGATTTTGCTGTATAAAAGTCATTTTTTATAATCACAATAATTACAAACGCAAAACGTGCATCCCATATTTAATTGCATTTGTTTGAGTTGTGGCCAAATGAAATGATGACAAAATGTTCAAGTCTTCTTCGACTCACAATTACGGTTTATTGCATTTAATAATATGCACAATGGAACAGTTTGTGTTTTGTTTGTTTGATTTATATATGATTTATTGATTTAAATATTATGGGCAGTCATTTATTGCAATATGAACTAGCAAACGCAGCTGCAGGCAACTAACTAAGTTAGCACAAATCATTTTCTATGCATGTATGTATTTATGTATGTATTTATCTCACTTTAAACTATACAGCTCACTCATTGTCTCCTTCTCTTTCGCACACACACAAAAGCCCAGACGATTTAAAATCGCTGCAATTTCTGCTATAACTATAAGCATCTTGCCCAGACTTGATTAATACTCTTTTTTTGTTGTTTTTTTTTTTGTTTTGTTTTTTTTTTGTTTTTTGAAAAGGATACATGAAAATACTTCTTTCTATTGGCTATAGTACAAATGAAATATACTTGTTTACAAAAATATCAATACAAACTATGCATACATGTATATATTTAGTAAAAAAAAAAAAGGGAAATGGAAACAAAAGAATCATAAAAATATTAATAGTAGGTGAACACAATTACATTTCAGATGACAGTTGCTTACAAAATCGGAGCCAGACTTTGGCTACAATTCTAATAAAGCATTGACAGATGATTGGCGTGTGAAAAGTACGCTCGAACTCTGTACATATACAAATATATGTATGTAACTTGGAAACTTGGAAGAAGGAGGTTTTACAAAAGAAGCAAGAAGTGAACATAAACATTATGCCCGCTGCATTCGCATTCGCATTCGCAGTTATAACCACTCACAATGTGGTAAGCACTGATCACTAATTAACTCTCCCGCTCTCTCTCTATATATGTCTTTCTCTATCTCCGTCTCATTCTCTTAATCTCTGTATCGCTTATCAAAAGGCTATGAATAATAACTTAAGAATTGCATTTGCAAATGCAAAAACAAATAATGCTTTTGTGTCAAACAATAATCGTTCCAATTAGCTTTTGATGTTATTGATGTTTGTGTTGTTGCCATTGTTGTTTAGTTGCTGATCTTTTGCAGTTTCTGCAGCACTTTCAGACCCTGTTCCTGATACTCCTGTTTGGACATCCAGAAGCCATCTCGATCTTTCGTTACCTCAGCCAATACAGCGCCGCCAATGAATACCATATCTTTGCGACGCGGTGGATCTTCAATGCGTATTTTGAATTTCTTAAATAAGAAAAGGGAAATCATTAAAACCCATTAATAGCTCTACAGAGCCGAGAGTGACCGATCTGAAGATGCCACCCGATACCCAACAACCGCTCCTTCTCATCAAGAAATCAACTTTTAACCAATTACAATTTCACTAAGCGACTTGGGTGCAGGGTATCAAAAGTAAGCACATTTAGTTAGTCCACATACCGCCAGTTTCTCCGTGTCGTTTTTGAGAACGCGCTCCAGATACAGCTGCTTAATTTCACGCTCCAGACGACTTGGTAGCCCCGGATACATGGTTGAGCCACCAGAGAGCACTATGTGCTTATAAAGCTCGGGACGTATATCGATGTCCGCTGCTTGTATTGTGTTGAAGGCCAATTCCGCAATGCCGGGTCCTTCAACGTTTATTAAATGCGGTTGGAATAGCGCCTCAGGTGCCTCAAAACGCTCGCCACCCACTTTAATGACACGGCCATCGGGTAACTGAATTGAAATACACGATTTACATGTGAAATAATGAGCTGAACTGCAGTCAATACATACCGTATAAGACTCCACAAGCACTGTGGTCTCAAGTGCCAAACGTTGCTCCATTTCAATGTCGTAGCCAATGTAGCAGAGTTTCTCCTTCATGATGCGCACCGTTTCAAAGTCAGCGGAATGATTAAAGGCATAGCCACGTAGTAACAGTAACTGTACAAATCAAGAATTTGACAATAAATAAGTAGAATAAGTAAGGCCACAAGTCTGGCTAAAATCTCTTAATACCTTAATCAAATAGCGCGTTATATCACGACCAGCAATATCCAGACGCCTCGTCAAATGTGGCAACGAGAACTCCTCGTAAACTGGGCAAATATGCGTTACGCCGTCGCCTGAATCGATAACCACACCAGATATGAGACCCTGGGCATACAGTGTAAGTACTGCCTGTATGGCAATGTACGTTGAATCGAACCCGTATTTCTCAAACATCACCTGTGAGTGTGAGTAAAAGCGAATGGATTATATTATATGGACCAATGGAGACCATTGACACTATGTAAAATACCTCGATCATTTTCTCACGATTCTTTGTGGGATTCATTGGGGGCTCTGTCAGCAATATTTTTGTATTCGTCGGATCAATGTCCATTTTCTTAGGGCCAAACGTATAATCCCACACATGACACATATCGTCCCAATTCCGAACAACTCCATTTTCCATGGGATAGGATACCTCGAGCAGTGAGCGCAGCTGTGAGGCTTCATCTCCAACCATAAGATCCTGTAAATGGGCATACAAATTGTTTAATATCAATGCAATTGGCGCATTTTGCATGGCGTTGTTTAGTACATTGTTCGATTTAAACATCGCTTAATCGTTAAAGGGATTAGAGTTAGTTCATCTCGTTAAGATGCCAACACACTTAGGCGCTAAACAGGCGGGACTAAGGACAAAGGACTATAAGAAAATAAATTACAAATGCTTAACAAATTGAAAAATTGAAAATAACAAACAAGTAACTAACAACGTGTAACGAGCAACGAGTAACGAGTAACAAGTAACGATCAATATAAGACGATTAAACGAACGCCAACGCAAGAGTCGCTCAAAAGAGAACTTTGCGTTATCAATTCGCTTTTTTTTATTAAGCGTTAGAAATTTAAATAGTAATACACATTCTACAAAAAAATAAGCTAGCTACTTATACATGCACTGAACAGAAAGTACAACAAAATAGTTTTGATAGATTTGCAACGCAAAGCGATTCGCACACAAACAGAAATTAAAGTGCAACAGCCACAAAGCATTTCGAGATATTTTCGGTTTTGTCTTTAAATGCCGCCAGATATAGTTCGATATCGAGCAAAAACCGTTAATGGAAGTGCTTCATCTCTTTAATTTTCAAAGTAAAAATACTTTGGGAAACATTCTGATGCAGTAATGCCGGAAGAGTGTTTAAAAATTTCCAAATGAAGGTGAGTAATGTTCACACATGACTCACAGAAATGAACTGTAGACGTGTGTGTGGAAATTGGAAAATATTATATATGCCGCATTTCAATTCTCTTTATTTCTTTTGTAAATAATATTTAAAAATCTCTCACTTATCTGGTCTTAGTTTCACAAGCGAAACATGAATGATATCTGCATGAGGCCAAATTGTTTTTCTATCTGCACACTGACCATAAGTTCGATCTTAAGCACTACTAATTGTGTTTGTACATAGCGTATGTGTATGTATATATTCAGGTGCGAAGACAGACATACAAATAGATACATAAATAAAATAGCATAACAGTATTAAATGCAATCGAATGAAAAAATAAATAAATAAAAACAACAGCAACAAGAACAACAACAACGAAAACTTTAAGCTTGTTAAGAATCGTATTACAAATGTATTCTAGTGAAAGAATTTGAAAAATGAAAAAAGAAAAAAACAAATTGAATGTTTAGCTTTTCAAATGTGATTTTGAATAAAGGAATACTATATTTACAAGTGCGATCTCTAGACTAGTTAGTTAGTTTGCTGGCGTGTGCAATTCGTGCACAGTACAAAATGGAATTGAGTTTCGGAAAATTGAGAAACTCTGTTTACAGATTTTCGGTATAATTTATTTTGCAAAAAAAAAAGAAAAAAAAAGACATTTGAAGCTAAATATTCGCTTTGCTTTTTTATTTTTGTATTGTGTAAACTATAAAACTTGACTTACATCGACATGTAAATCCTGTAAAATATTTGTTTTCAAAAAAAATATGTAAAAAAAAAGAACAGAAAAAATGTATAAGAATATTAAAAACCGAAAGATTTACCTTTTTTGTTTTTTGTTTTTGTCTTTTTTTTTTGTATAATATTTTGTGAATAAGCTAAAATTAATACTTAGTATAATGTAGTATTCAATTTCAAAACTGACCAATAAATATGTGTATCTACTTTTTGTATGTATTTTTTGTATCTGGAATGTATAAAGCACTCGAAAGACCTTAAGCTAATGCATTAAGAGAAATATAAACAAAAAAATATATATTTGAAAATCAAATACCAACACCAAACCAAAGATACTTAATACAATTATGTTGATGTTGCAGCAATTGAATACAAACTGCAATTATTGTTGTAATGCATGGGAGCAAATGAATTTATGGTGGGTAAAAAAATAAAGTGATAAATCAATATTAAATGTATGTGTTTTCATATTCAACATAAACATCACAAAATGAAGTCAAGAACAAGATTGTAACGATGTAACGATGTAATGATGAATGATGAATGATGAACACATACATGGTGAGTATGGTGCGGCTAAAAGCTATGGTTTTCACTAATGCCAGTGTTCATGTAATTATGTATTTATCTATGTAGTATATACTTAGTTATTACGAGTAGATTATGGACCTGCTGTGCATATGTCTATTTGAATTTGTTTTCATAGAATATGTATGTGTATGTGTGTAATTAGAGGTGTGCGTGTGTGCTAGTTGGTAAATACGCTTCTCATACCTTCACTTCGATGTCACCAATTTTATTGACCGCTCGTATTATCGGCCTGCCAACCATCGAGGGGAAAATGTGCGCGGGAAAATTGCTGCCAGCATAGCCGCATTTTACGAACTATTAATGAGAAATAGAAAATATATTAGATTTTTGTATGTAAATATATATATATATATACATATTAAGATCTGTTCCCAATTTCAATTACACAATTTTAAAGGCATTTCATTACATTTGTCAGGCATCAGAACATTTCCCAATATCACAACGTAAATATTTTGATCCATTACAACAGAACTACTCCATTAAATCGTGTTTCGTGCGCTTCACACATAGTTTAATTGTATTAACGTTGTTCAATTGTCATGGTAATTTTTATATGTACGTGTTAAAACATATTTTGGGCAATATTTTCCAAAAAATTTTGATTTACAGTTAAATTTAATCTTTGACTTTAATCTCTATGCAATATTTTTTAGCTTTAGTTAAAACAAACAAACCTAATAGTAATTCTACACAAGTAAGAAATCTAATGATAAACAATTTTGTTTACACACAAAAAAAAAACCATTAACTATTCCAAACATGGTTTCTTGCCATGTGCTGAATGCTGAACAAAATGTTCTTGACAATTCTATTCTAGCGATCAAGAATGGAGAGCTCAGCTAGTAGATATCCTCTATCCCAGTCCTTCATTTTAGTAGTCATAGACAGAAGCCTTGAGCTTACTAAAAATAAAGTAACAAATTAGACAGATTCGGAAATGGTAATATGAACAAGGAGTCTCATCTCTCTGTCGGATCATCAACCCATAACTGTTTCTGATCTTAAATTGGTAGTACTCTTCAGATACGAGGCGTGACTGGAGACTTGATTTTTGGCACCACGGGTGACCAGAAGAACGCAAGAACGGAAGAACCCTTAGGTAGGCAGCCCCCCAAACCAAGGAGGAAGTTCACGAGCAAAAAGCGTACTGACATTAAATTGGTACCGGCGGAGTTGATGTTCCAATGGGGGTCGTTGATTGACTCTTCAATTAATTTCTGTGGCAGCGCAGGTGCTCAAGCTAAACGCATTGTCTAAATATATATTTATGTATCTGTGAACAAAGTATTTTAGTTAATTTGGCTAACAGTTTGATTGGCGGTTTTTGCTTAAAAAATGTTCATAACAGAATTTTGCACATTTACTCATATATACATATATATATATATATTATGTGCATTTATCAAAGAGAAGCGTAATCACAAACAAATTTCTTTAGCCGCGATAAGGAATAAGATTGGAAACGATATTCCTCTCATTGTTGCTGTTTGTGTTGGAAATTGCGCTCTTTTTTCATAAATAATTTTTTTTTTTTTCATTCCTATTTTGCTTTGTGTGTGTGTGAGTGTGTGCGTATCGTTTGATTGGCTGCGGTGAGTAATTCTGCCTGCCGACGCAGCTTGTAACAATGACTAAAGCGCCTTTTACACACATACATGAACACATTTGTATATATTCATATACATTGTACATAAATATCCCATCTTAAGAATATAGTTTCGAGTCATGGTGCAGATAGCCCAGCTGCAAATCCCCCCTTCCCCATACCCCTTAACGACAACGCCCCTGCATGGTAAAAGAGAAAAAAATCAGTGTTTAACCTACAACCAAATACAACAACAAGCAAAATGTGTGTCACCCAATGAGTCGAGTGACTGGCTATCTGTGAGATGTATGTGAGAATGTGGATAAATGGAATACATACCCCGGTGCCGTTATCACAGACAATAACTTTGCGACCCTTGCTATCCATTTTCTGCTCCAATCCAACTACCGACTACAATTGGAATTCTCCACGATTGTTGCTTTAACGCTGATCTGCCGCTTGTTGTTCTTGTAGTTGTTGTTGTCGTCGTGGGTGTTGGTTAATTCTTTTTTAGTGTTTGCGCTGCTCTTGTGGCTGACTGCTGTTGTTTTATTGTTGTTGTTTTAACGGTTAAAAATGCCGTTGAGTGGAAATGAGTGCAATTGTTGCTGGTGCCACCGGCACAGTTGATTCAGCTCGACTATGTAGTAATATAATAATGACTATCGACGACTGCAGTTAATCACACAATTTCCAACCAACCGTACAACACACACATTCACAGACATAACATGCCCGCTCCATTCATACGCATACGCAAGCTAAGTTAAACACACACATACACACACACACACACACACGCATACAACATGTATAGGCACGCGGGCGGGCTGTTCTCTTGGTTTGACGCTCTCCCGCTCTCTTCTCGTGTTTGCGTACGTTCTGCGCTAATCTATGTATTTGGGCACACTTTTTTAATAATATAATGCTAGCGAAATCTGTTAATTTCAATTGATATATGGGAAAAGAATTGAAAACGCTTAAAATTTCAATTTCTCGGCGGCACAAGTCACGACAAAATATACACACACACACACACGCACGCACGGACGTAGAGTTGACTTGTAAATATCGATGTATCGAACTTATCGCTTATTTCCAGGGCTGCATAGCCAATATCCGCATTAGCGAATTTCGATTAACAAACAATTATATATTTTTGGAATTTTTTTTGAAAATTTCAATGATAAGCTGTGGAAAATTCTTTATTAATTTATTTGCTTTTATTGGTAAGAAATATAATATAAATTTAAATTGATCAGAGGCATACGAGCAAAAGCAAATATATCCTATCGTATAAGTTATCGTACTTATTAATCCAACGTTCATTAGGTAAATATACATGATTAGCTTTGCGACATTTTTTACTAATTTATTTGCTTTGATTAGTAGTAAATATTTAAAAATAAAGTATTTTAATTTAAAATCTTTAAAATCTATCGAAAATATCGATATATTTATCAAGCACCTGCACCTACACGCACCACGGAAAACAATTTCAGCGGCACTTTTAAATTTATCACCAGAAGCGGGAAAAAAGATAAATAGAAGAACGAGCATGCGGAGAGTCGCGACAATTTATTTTATTGGTTTATATAATATGTATGTATATATAATTTGTTTTCTTTAGAATTGCTTTAAGAGGCGAAATGTCTTAGATATATATATATATATAATCTATATATATATTTGCTGTTTTCACATACAATTGTATTCTTTCATGTGCAAATGCTGCACTAATTTTCATTCTGTATTTTAGTTATTGAATCAGTTTTCATTATGATTCTGCATAGTTCTTTTGTGGTCGTTCCATGAATTTGTAATTGTATAATGTATTTAATTGTATGGTCTTGAGACTTATCAAAATCTATACACAACAAACATTTGTGTGCATGTATATGTATCTGTGTGTGTTTGTGTGTGTATAAAATTGCACGAAATTTGAGTCGTAGTCGCCTTAACCATGGACAATAAATGATTTTTAGTGGTACATAAGTATTTATGGTTAATACTTGTAAATGGAACAGACGTGAGACTTGTTGAATTGAGAAGCGAGTTGTATAATTAAGTTAGAATTGATTGACAATAGCCGGAACTGTTTATATATGTATTTACTACAGTTATTACAGCTAGCTTCCTTTTTATATTTAAGACATGAACTCGTCAGCCAATGCCGTCCACAGATTATAATTCATGTATCAATCTTATAACACGTCCAGTATGAATTGGTGTTTGATTTACTATTCCTGTTTTACAATTTTTAAAAAAATTTGTTTTCAATGTTTTTTCTTTTTAAGTTTTTGCACGTTAGCAAAACAGTTTAAGCACATCATTTATAAGCGGAATAAACACAAAACACTGTAACAAAATTGTTGTATGTGTGTAAAAAAATGTAGCTTTTAAATTAGTAATCGGTTTGTATTGTTTATATATGCGTATGCTAGAGTTAATTCGACAAGTACATAATTCACTAACTTTAAGATTAAAACAATTTGTATGTCTTTACATATTATTATTAGTATTTTAGTGTGTGTTTATTAATTAGAATTAGCAGTTTTCAAGCTAAAAATAAAAAATAAAATAAACAGCAGTGCCAAAGAAAGAGAATCAAATGTTAAAGGTTAAGTAAACATTGTTTCAAATATTAACAAGACAAACAATGATTATGAGGCATTTGTTTGTGTGGCTTTAACATTTCATTCATATATTGTATACAATTTATAGTTTGAATATATCTTCTCTTAGTTATAATCAGGGACCGCAAAATGAAAGTTTTTATCTTGATTCTGGTTCAGATCAGACTGTTTCCAGATGGAAAATGCATATATTTATATATATATATGTATATATATATATATGTATACATTTATATATATATCTATTTTCTTTTTATCAGTTAATATACATGTGTATTACTTATGCCCTTGATTTGTATTATGTAATTGAAAAATTCAAAACAATTCTTTTATCGTTATATTTATCGTATAATCAAAAATAGGAAATAAGCTTAAGATATTTTGTTCACCTCGTGGCCCCTGATAACAATCGTTAATTATGCATTTGTTTTTAATTGAAAAATTAGCTAACGTGATTTACATATATTTAAGAGTTTCTTGAGTTCTAGCATGGCACAAGTAAATCATTTTCAGTTCGAAGTATAGAAAAAGTTTCGGTATCGGTTTCGACATTCTGCAAATGTGCATGTAAAAAGCTTATTATTTTTTCACTTGAATTTATACAGTATTTGTAAATAGATGTATTGTGCATAATTTGTAAATGGTGGTTTAACGATTTATATTTCTTATCTTACTAATTGGGTAGACTGTTGCTCTTGAGGTTATTGTTATATGCATATATCAACAGATTAGTATATAATATAAGAAATGTTGTGCGTGCTTCCCTATTTTTTACCAAGTGAAACTCTTTCAATTTCTGCGATTGAAATTTCGTAAAAATGTTGTATATTTTGCTATTATTTAAAAACAAAAGAACAAAAAGGTCGTAATTGATTTAAACAAAAAAAAAAAAACAAATTAATCTTAAATTACGTCATACAAACAAAAGAAGGCTATGGTTATAAAATGTTTTTGCTTTGATTTTTGTTTATGTTTATATTTTGTTTAACAAAAATAATAGTTGGAAAATTATGTTAATTTTTAGATGGAGTCATACATATGTATTTAGGTTTTTTTTAGGGGTTTTTCTTTAAGAATATGTTAGTTAAATATTTGATTTGTGATATTTAAGGATAATAATTTTTTTTTTAGTATTATTTCTCTGTGAGGGTTAATTCTAAAGCCCTTTTTTTTATCAATTAAATAGTTAAAATGCAATGCCTAGATGTTTTTGCTTTCGCTTAAAATTGCAAATATGTTTAAATGGTATTTTTTTTGTTGTTTTTGTTTTTGTTTTGTAAAGTCTGGAATTATTAGCTAGTATTGTACACAGTGGGGTAAAGAAAACAAATGAAAATGTTTAGCTACGCAAATAACGAACACAGTAAATTAAAAAACATCACACATAGAATCAAATGTTAAGTTAAGTTATATTAGGAAACAATTCAGCATTTAAAACAGCATTTAATTATAGACAAACAAATATATATATATATATATATATACATATATATGTATGTGTATAAGCTATGTACGTAAGTATATATATAAGTATGTTTGTATGCATGTAGTAAATTGTATAAGGAACATTTGTGGACTATTGCGGCACATATTGCAAATGGTTTCATCAAATGGTTCATCATGTCAATTACAATGTGTGTTCAGAACTTCAAAAAACATTTTGTTGTGTTGTGTTTTAGTTTGCACAGTTTGGTTTTGAGTTCATCGTCGTCACTGTTATTATTATTATTTAAATATATGTTTGTATGCATGTATGTATATATTTAATTATGTAAGTATGCATGTATTCCTTTATGTTAATTTTATTTTACTTTTTTTTCTGCTCTCATTAATTAATTAATTAATATGTACGCTTCTTTTTGGCGCTGCTAAATGTTTTGAACAAATTAGCGCTATTTTCGTTTGGATTTAATGTTTTTTTTGTTTTCTGTTTTTTTTTTTCCGTTATTTTTTTTTTTTTTTTTTTTTTGTTTTTGCTGGTAATTTATTATACATACAGGCTTAAGATAAGTTTCGGTTTTTACTTCGGAAAAGGAATTGGGGAATCTAGCGCTAGCAAAAGTATTCAATGCATCAACTGACTGTAATATCTATCCTGTCCTGTCTAAATATACCCCATCAGGGGGCGAGACGAGTTCTCCGCTCCTGCGCCGGGCAGCTCTACTCTTCTGTTACAAATTTCATACGTGTGAGATTTGAGAATTGAGTTTGCCACGTGACATGTTCCGGTTTCTATTCTGATCGATCGATCGATCGATCCAAGTGTGCTCCATTATTGTTGCCTTGCTTTTGACCTTCTTGCTTATTATAAATGTAAGTATGTATTTGTCTATTACAGTATTACGAATGATGCTTTAGCTAAAACGACAAATCTTTGCAACTTTATAATGTTCATATGTAGATATTATATGTTAATATTATATACTCGCGTGCGTCTGCATCTGCATCTCTGTGTGTGTATGTGTGTGTGTGTGTGTGTGAATGGGTGTGTGTGAATGTGTGTGTGCGTGTGAATGTGAGTGTGTGAATGTGTATGTGTGTGATGTGCGTATGTGAGAGAGAGAGAGTCGCGCGTCCTGCTCAGAATGTGGTCGGGGCGCAGAGTCAACACCCAATCCAATATACGACATCAACACCCACAACAAACACAACAAAATCTCCACAACACATCACATCACATCTCATATCTTCAGCAACAGACATTTGATTGAATACCGAATACCGAATACCGATCGAGATCGGTGCTCACACAGAAAAGCTGCCGTCTCCCGCTCCCGTTGTCGCCCTCCACGTCGTTGCCATGGTTGCGATCCTTGTTTGCCATGTTTAGCCATGCGCCGCTCCGTTGTTGCCTTGACTGTGATGCTGATGTGGATGTGGATGCGAATGTGGATGCGGATGCTGGTGATCGTCGCTGGGCGTGGGCGCCTGATCGCGACGGGGCGGCATCCGCTCGTTGACCGCATCGAGTCCCTTGGCCTCCGCGAACGAGGTAATCTTGTGATTGGGTGAGAAGCCCTGCATGGCATTCTTGAGAGATTGCTTGCCACCGGATAGGGCGCCCAAGGGCAGGGCGCCCGTCGGCGTCAGTCCCTTCAGCTGCAGCACTGACTCCGACTCCTCGCGCAGCACGGAGAAGACGCGCGCCATTTTGCCAATGGCGCGTATCTTGTTGCGTATGACCTCCTTGCGCAGCGCCGCCTCATCGTCCGAGAGCGGCTCCTCGCTCTCCTCGGTCATGAGCTCATCGTCGGAGCAGATGTTCAGCACGTTCACCAGCATCTCGGTGACCTTCTCGCCGACAAAGGGCAGCGACCAGGTGAACACGTCCATGAAGTTGGGAAGCCAGTAGGGATGCGGCGAGCAATTGAACTGCCGGATGTTCATCACGTTGTTCTCGTACTTGAGAACCGCCGCCTTGTTGTTGTACACGTCCAGATAATTGGGCGCCGAGAAGATGGTGATCAGCGAGGGAAAACCGGTGGTCTGGCTCTTACGGTACATGCGGTAGCCGGCGTCCTGTGCCTCGTGCGCCCGTATGATCGACAGCAGGTTGTTGTTCTGCAGGAAGTCGCAGCAGGCGGCGTAGCTGTAGAAATACGAACAGCCGCGCACCGAGTTGTGCGTGTAGAAGTCCGAGTTCTTCTCGTTGCCGAAGTCCTCGAGCGGATCGGACCACAGCAAGTCGCACATGGGGCCAAAGGCGGGCGGCTCCTTGAATCTATCGAGCCGCCTAATGTCCTCCAGCTCGTGTATCTCGGGCGAGAGGCCGCCGTGCACGCAGAGGAACTGCTGGTTCATGAGCGCCGCCAGCGGCAGGCAATCGAACGCATCCATGCACGCGTCGTACACGCGCTCCGAGTACTTGATCTTGCACTCCTGCTTGAAGGTGAAGTACTCGGTCAGATGCCGGCACTCGTGGTTGCCGCGCAGCAGGAACAGCGTCTGCGGATACGTGATCTTCAGCGACCACAAATAGAGGACGCACTCAATGCTAAAGTAGCCCCGGTCCACATAGTCGCCAAGGAACAGATATTTTGTTGTTGCCGGCGATCCGCCAACCTCAAAGAGCTTCATGAGATCATAGAACTGGCCGTGAATATCGCCGCAGACAGTCACCGGCGCCTCAATATCAATCATTGTCTTCTCGTGCCGCAGCAGAGCGGCGCCCTCCTGGATGATACGCAGTGCCGGCGCTTCCTCGATGCGACCCTCCAGGATGAAGTGCTGTTTGAGCAGATCGTGATTCGGTTTGCCGCTGCGCGGATCGAACACCTCGGCCAGCGTCAGTTTGTGACTGGGTGGAAACGGGACGCTGTCCACGACTCGCTCCTTGGTGTTGACAGCTGCGTGCCCGCCATGCGCCCTGTGCGTGGGACTCTCGTGGCCAGCGTTGGCCGCATTCGAGTTGCTGCCGCTGTTGCTGCCCGTTGTCGCATTGCCCGCCGACGAAGCATTCGCGTTCGTATTCGTATTGGAATTGGTATTCGTATTGGAATTGGCATTGGAATTGGCATTGTTGCTGCTGCTGCTGCTGGTGTTGGTGGTGTTGGTAGTGCTGCCATGTTGAGTGTCTGTGCCGTCCGTGGAGTTGCCACCCCGTTGGCTGGCACTTGTTGCCACTTGAGCACTCGATTGATTATTCGAAGACATGCTTGCAGCCAATGCGGATGCGGATACGGATGCAGATGCTGCTCGAGCTGCTGTTGCTGGCGCCCACGCTGGGTGAGCGGTTCCTAGTGTGAGCCGTCTGCTGCACTACACACACACACACACTCACGCACACACACACACAGAGAGAGAGAGAGAGAGAGAGGCACGTTGGCCAACCACACTTGCACTTTTTCGACTTTTGCTTTTGGCTTTGCTTCTACGACTGCTACTGCTGCTGTTGTTGTTGCTACTGCTGTTGTTGTTTTTGCTGCTGCTGCTGTTGTTGTTGTTGTTAGCCGCTTTATCGCGTTGTCAGCCTTTCGGTATTTTGGAAAGTTATCTGGCTGCTGTTGTTGCTGCTGCTGCTGCTGCTGTAACACACAACAATGTGTGTATATTCACAATTTGTATTTATATTTTGAGTTCGTTTTGGCTGCTACTGCTGCTGTTGCTGGTGCTCTGCAGACGTCGTAATTTCTCTCTTGTAACTTTTTTTTCGCTTCTCAATGGAATTTTCAGCTCCCCCTCCCTTTCCTTTATTTTTATTGATATTCTGCCAGAGTGACCGTGACCGGCTATAGCTTAATGCCCGGCAAAAATACCAAAAATATACCAAGCATGACGTTAAGTCAGCGCACGCTGACGTAAAGATGTTCGTTGATGACGTAAGTGGTCGCATTTAGGGATTATTTTGCAACAATTAACATAACATTTTCTATATACATTCGATTTGCCTATCAACAATTAACAGCGATTATAATTATTTTTTGTGATCCCATCGATGTTATCTATGTTTGCCTTTCGCATTATTAATGCGTCTTCTCTTTGGCAATATTATTTTGAACTTCGCATTATCTTACTTGAACTGTTATATTTTTTACTGGTAAAATTAGCTGTTCTCGTAAATGATTTTGTACTTCTAAAAGCGAATCCAATGTCCACGGCAAACTACAGCATTCTCAAGAGTGTAAGGAATCTTAACATTTTCTTTCTACGCAAATCGTGGGGGCAACCTTCTAGCTAACATGCCTTGCGGCTATGATCGGGATACTGTCGCAAGCTACTAGTGCCGTATTTAACATAACATCTGTAATATTACATGCAGCTCTGTACATAAATACGATATCGATATCAATCGATGTCAATGGTGTGATCAACAGCTTGAAGAAAATGAAAGAGTCGGTGAGGAGTAAAGAAAGTAAGCAGGCGTGTTTAGAAGAGTTATTTCATATAATTTCGACTGCTACAATACTAAAATACAGTCAATCTCTTATAAAGTTAACATGTCCCGCCCCATATTATACGGAACGGCTTGTTTCTGAGAGTAGCAGCCGCAGCCAGTTAGTGCTATAGTTAGTGATGGGCCTTAACTAAAAACATATCTAAGCAGCACATCTCCATCAACAAATTGTAGGCGCGCATTTTAAATTCAAATTCGAATTTTTAATACTGGGTTTCACCTGCATTGGCAAAATTTTATTTAAAATTGACATTCATTTAACACATCAAAACACAGTGACGGAACCAAAAGAAGAAACAAAGTTATCTTCAGTCGAATTACGCCAATTTGTGTAATTTTTCCTTAACACTTCCAATCGGCGTCCAATCATGTGAAATGTTATCTTCCTCCATAACCGTATACACCTCTGATAGTGCGACTATACTCTCCATATGGAGGCGGCTGGTAAAAAGTCCCAGTTAGGTCAGGTCTCTGCCAGACCATGAGGTGGAAGGTTCTCTTCGGTGTACTCTATAGCCCGGTGCTAAGCTAGACGCTGTGAATTGAGCCGTGGCGAGGTCTGAGGACAGAATGTTGGGTTGGCTGCTGAAATAAATACTTCAAAACTCTAAGCATTCTTCTGCCAGAGTCTCCAAACAAAGAAATTATCGAAGAAAGAAAGCTTTACGGCCTATAAAAAAGAGCATTTCAAATTTTCTATGCATTCAGCTAAGGGGTAAACAGAAACATACCTCGCTTACTAAAAAAATTGGTAAGACTTAGAAAAAACTCAAGTGAGAAAACTCCAGAAATCAGGCCAAAAACCTCTTGGGTCTTTACTTCAGGGAAAATAAATTATTTTATCCATGAACTCTTCATAAACAGACTTATTAGCAAATGTGTATCAGTTTTGTGGAGTGCCCTTGAGCTTTAAGCAAATTGAATTAAAAATGTAAAAATTATTGCTTGGGTCACTGAAAATCATTCAAATATTTACTTAAAACGAACATTTAGAGGAAATAATAAACGTGCGCGCATTTTATTCTCAGGATAGGTACTTGTATATTTTTTTTTGTTGAATGTTTTGTTTTTGTTTTTGCATTGTTAATATTAATTATGTTAATAACATTGATAATCATTTTTATTTTGCATTCACTTAATGTTAAAACGTTTTGTCTGCATTTGTTCATGCCCTTTGTATATTCATTTGTTGTTCTTCTTTGGATTGCATATAATTTCTCACAACGGCACAATTGCAATTTGGCAATTAGCATTTTGCATTTTGCATTTTGCATTTTCTTGCCAGCCATCTGCCCTTGAAATACATTCATAAATTTATAATATAATAATGCTTTCACTGTTAAATTTGTTAATTTATTATTTATTTTCCGTTTAATAATAAAATTGAAAATTTTTAAGAGATTTATCTAGATGTGTTGTTTTTTTTTGTTTTGTTTTTGTTGCTTTTTGTTTATAATTGTTTTAAATATTAATTTTTTTTAATGTTGTTTTAATATTATTTGTTTTTCTTTGTTTAAGTATAAGTATATAAACTTTTTTGCTTTGACAAAGTTTCTTCAACTTAAATTTATTTTATGTATATATGTATATATATATGCATATAAATAAATGTTTAAATATATATAAAATATGCATTTAAATTGATTTATCCAAAAGGTAAAGTTTTAATTCTTTTTATAATATATATTTAAGTTTTTCTTGTGTAAAGTTTTAAAGCATTCGAGGGCAGGAAGTAGATGTTGAAAAATACATGTATCAAAAAATTATATAAAGTATACAAAGATTACAAATATTACTTATAAAAGGAGTTGGTTTTTGCTTGGTAGCAATGAAGACGTTGTAAATTATAAATAAGCTTACTGTAAATCATGAATAAATTATGAATAAAAACAAAAATAATAAAGCAACCACACACACACACACAGGAATACACACACATACAGATACACCCACATACACACACAAACACACACACACACAAACACATAAAAGTAGGCAAAAGCTTTTCAAATGAATTTGAAGTGTAAGCAAAATGAAAATTTTATATTAAGTTTTCAATTAATGAAAATCAACCAAATTAAATATATATATATATGAATAGTATAAATTAAATTATTTGTTTAAAACAATGTGATTGTACATCTGTATGTAAATATTTATGCTAATTTACAAACAATTGCGACAAATGGCGTAACAGTTTTCATTTGTATGTATATTGCAACAAAAAAATTAAATTCAAATAATTTTTGAATATTGCACATTTTAATAATTCCCTCTCTTTCTCTCTCTCTCTCTCTATCTCATTCTCTTTAATTTGATCTCTTAGGCTTCAGAAAAAGAAGCTGAAGAAAATAAATAATGGAATATAAAAATCGAAAACGTGTAAGTTGTATATATATATATATATATATATATATATATATGTATTTTTGCTTTAAGATTTGTAACGATGTTTTCAATTGTTTATATTCGGTTTGAAATTTATTTAATTTTTTTTTTTGTGTTTTTCTTTTCTTTTGGGTAAATTTATATTTCTTGCGGCTGCAGTAAAAAATGTATCTTTTAATATTGATGTGTATGCTGCGAATATGCATTGGAATAAGAGGCAAGAAGAGCGTTTAAGGAGCGGTTGAGTGTAAGTCGTGGAAAAAAGATTCGAAATGTATTAAGTTTTTGTTGTTTTTTTTCTGTGTATATAGTATAAAAGTATTGGTTTTAGGTATACATGTATGTATATACATATATACACATATTGTATATATACGTATGTATATATATATACATATGAACATATATATATATATATATATATATTGTATTCTTAGTTTATGTTAGCTTCTTAATAAATGTTAATATTAATTTCTTGTTGTTTTATGTTTGTTTTAGAAGAGCGCGCTAAATTGCATGTAAAGAGAAGGGCGGAGGGGGATGTGGCGGGGGAGGGAGGGGAAAAGCATGTATGTACATGTATATGTATATGTACATGTTTGTTTTTTGCTCATACTTTATAAGTAGGCTTTGTTTTATTTTGTAATCAATTCATTTATTCATATTAAACAATAGTAGCAATTTCTCTCACTGCATTAATATTTGTTATTGTTGTTTAAATATATTATTTTTTGGAATTGAAATGCAGAAAATGTTTGTAAATTGTCTGATTTTCTTGTATATTGTTTATTTTGTAATATTTTTTATCAATATTTTTGTTTTGTTTGTGTTGCTTAGCTTAAAACTGGATTTTGTTTTCTTACATAATTTAATTAATATTTTGACTATTTGGAAAATGCGTGTGTGTGTGTGTGTGTGCTGAAACTGGGCTTATAATCGTTCTGCGGTTGCTCAACATTTTAAATATATATAAATATAAATATATATATTTATATTACAGAATGCGCGCATGGGTAAAGTGCGTCGCTCGTGGAAAGCAAAGGCTTGTTTGTGGCTTGTGTAAGCTGTTGCCAGCTTTTAGGTGCTGGGGTAAATAAGGAATTTGTGACGCACGCTCTCTCGCTCACTCGCAGTATTGCCAACTCTGTCTAGGACATGTGCCCATGTACCCATGCCATTCTTATACATATATACGTGGTTTCTGGTTGTTCTGCTGTATTTGATATTAGATTTAGATTTCGATTTCGATTTAATTGTTAATTGTTGATTTTACGGCGTGCATGTATATATACATTTCGTATGTTAAGAGGGGCAACGTTATACGGAATTGTTATGTGTTTTAACTACGGTATTAGGATTAGTTTTCTTGTTGCGCTCTCTCTCTCTCTCTCTCTCTCTCTCTATCTCTCTCTCGTTCTGCCTGCCTATCTGTCTGTTTCCCCCCATTTTGCTATTTCAATTTCATCTAATACCTCTATTCCATATGCCGTTGCAATCATGTCCAGCGTCTTGCCGTTATTTCAGTATTTATGCACAGAGTTGTAGTCTATGCAAAAATGCTTGGATGAATGCTTGTATATAAAATCTTATGCATATACGTCTGTTTGTATGCACGTTTGTTTATGTGTGTATGTATAAATGTTTATAAAGTACTTTAAATTGCTATAAGTTTGCATTTTGTGTTACATTCTTGTCAACTATCAATTGTTAGGTATTTGTCTAATTTGTTTTAATTGTTTGTTTGCTAACTGCTTTACTGCATTTACTTCATTTGCTTTCGTTTCATTCCCCCTTTCCGCAGCTATCCGCTCAACAATAAACCGGTTATGGTTTTATTCATTTGTTCATTTAGCCCTTTAACTTTAAACCTAGTTATAAATGTACATAGTTGCTGTTGTTTTTCTTTTTTGTTATTGCATTCGTTTTTCTTTTAAAATAATTTTCTTAATTTTTTTGTTGTTGGGTTTTTTTCTTGTTATCTTTATAATTGTTGATTTTAATAATAATGTATTTGTATTTGTTTAAGAAAACTTGCACTCCTTTTTGTAGGCTTTTGCATTTTATTATTATAAATTCATTTTACTTAACTACTTAAGGTGTAGTAAACCATAAATGTATGTAAATATACAATAAGTAAAAACATAAGCATCATAAGGTAGAACAATTTGATTTATAATTCGTATGCATAAATATTACATTTGTTTACTTAAAATATGAATTAACAAAATAAAAAATGAAAAAAATATAACTAATAACAGCTTAATAGAAATTTCCATTTAACTTTTGCACACTTTTTCGCATGTTTAGTTTTGCTAATTTCCATTCTCGTTTTTCATTCTTTAAAAATACATTTTTTATAAATATATTTTTATATATATTTATTTTTTTTGTATAATTTTAACAAATAACTAAAATTATATTAATTATAAAAAAAAGTGATTCGACAGACGCCGGCGGCGACGCAGGCTCAAATGTGATGCTGCTTGCTGTGCATGCAAATTGAGTTCAGTGAATTGTTGCTGTTTCTCTCATTTTTTACATTGCATTGCGTATTGCATACGTAATAGGCGCAAGGCACTTGCATTGAGATTCGAGATTCGACTGCAATCCGTGCTTCACTTTTCACTTTTCACTTTGCACTCTGTTTGCTCGCTCTGCCGCTAGATCGTGCGTAAGTGTAAGTACATATGTGTGTGTGTGTGTAGGTTGGTAGGTTGGTAAGTAGGAGAGAATAGAATAGAACACGCGCGATTAGTTGTATTTGTGTGTCTGTCTGTGTGTGTGTGTGTAGTACCGTTAGGTGCCGATATATTTTGCGTTACTTTTGGCGACTTCTGCTGCACATTTGACGTCTGCCTCGCTTCGGCCTGTTCGGTTTCAATCATAGAAAATATACATATATACATATATAGAAATATATACATATATATGTGTATTAATTATATATAATCAGCTAATGACTACGACAAAGATGGCACGTATATAAAGACCACATACACAATCACCAGGATGAGAGAGTGTGAGGCGACAATGGCGACGACAATGTTCTCATAATAAACTTTTAGTTTATTTAACATGAGTTAGTGTATGTTTTTTTTTTTTTTTTGGTTTGGGTGTGTGTGTGTGTGTTTGTGTGTGTGTGCTTCGTGTTTCTCTAGAGAGAGAGAAAAGTTGGAGTTAGAGAGAGATTCAGTCATTTTAATTTTTTAGCTTGTCAGTTTTGGTTTTCCTTTCGTTTCGTTTCTTCATGTTTTGTAATATAAAGATTGTAGTAAAATATTGCTGTTCTCGTTTGTTTGTTTGTTTTTTTGTTGTTTTGTTTTGTTTCTTTTTTTTGTATAGGAAGTAGTAGTTTAACATTAGCTTCTTATTGGTGTTTAGCTTTAAAGTCGTCTTCTTCGGCGCCACACAACGAAAGTAGTAAATTCTTAGCGTATTTATATTTGTATTATTTTTGGGATTTTCTTGTTTTTTTTTTTTTGTTTCTCCTCTTCTCATATTTAGTTCTCCTTCCTCATGAGGGATATTTTGGTTTATCTGTGGTTTATCCTTTAATACAGAGACGAGAGATGTATGTATAATTTTTATATGTATAAAAGTTCATTGATTTTCTTTTCTTTTTTTTTTGATTTTTTTTTTTGCATTTTTGCATTTTGGTTGCTTGCAAATAAATGGATATTATACCTAAACTGCTTGTTGCTGCCGCTGCTGCTGCTGTTGCTGCTGCTGCTGCGACGCGCCCGTTAACTTGGCTGAGCATTTGTTAGCTCTTTTGATATAACGTTGCACAAAATTTTGATGATATATGGTATCGAATATATACACATGCATATGTGCATATACATACGCATGCATATACATACATATTTATATGTTTATATATTGTTTAACTGCATTTAATAATTTGCTTTTGTTTTTATCAACTTTTAAATTGTTTTTAAATACCAATAAATTAAAACGCTAGCGTTAAATGTTCTCTTCTCTTCTTTTCTTTCCTTTCATTTTTGCTTGCTTGCTTGCCCACTCCTCCTTTCTACCGCTATTCCTGTTGCTGCGTGTTTTGCTTATGTCGCTTTGCATTTTACGTTTTGTGTTTCAATCTTGCTTTGCATTTACCGTTGAGGGGTGCATTTTAACTGCGACGCTTTATTAACGCGTGCGCCTTTGAGTATGTGTATGTGTGTGTGTGTGTGTGTGAGTGTGTGTGTAGGTGTAGGTGTAGGTCTGTGTGTGTGTGTTTAATTTATGTGCTTGTTTAGTACGAGGAGGCTGTGCTGACGCTGTTGCCGCTGCTTGCAACTATTTCTATTACTATTTGATTTCTTTCTCCCTCCCACTTGCACGCACCCCCAAATTTTGTTTGTTTTCTTCATATTTTTTTTTGTTTTTGTTTTTTGTTATTTTTTTTTTGGTTGCTTAACTGTCGACTTCTAAAACTGACTGATGCTCTACAGCTCTCTCTTTTCTACCCAGCTGCTCGCTCTTCTCTACTGTGACTTAGAATTATCCATTGATTGAATTCGCGTTTGCGTTGGCCGCAGCTGCTGCCGCCGCTGATAGTGTTTTCTGGCAATCCTCCGCCGGCGAGGGGGTTGCGTCGCGACGGGGCGGCATCCGCTCGTTGACCGCATCGAGTCCCTTGGCCTCCGCGAACGAGGTAATCTTGTGATTGGGTGAGAAGCCCTGCATGGCATTCTTGAGAGATTGCTTGCCACCGGATAGGGCGCCCAAGGGCAGGGCGCCCGTCGGCGTCAGTCCCTTCAGCTGCAGCACTGACTCCGACTCCTCGCGCAGCACGGAGAAGACGCGCGCCATTTTGCCAATGGCGCGTATCTTGTTGCGTATGACCTCCTTGCGCAACGCCGCCTCATCGTCCGAGAGCGGCTCCTCGCTCTCCTCGGTCATGAGCTCATCGTCAGAGCAGATGTTCAGCACGTTCACCAGCATCTCGGTGACCTTCTCGCCGACAAAGGGCAGCGACCAGGTGAACACGTCCATGAAGTTGGGAAGCCAGTAGGGATGCGGCGAGCAATTGAACTGCCGGATGTTCATCACGTTGTTCTCGTACTTGAGAACCGCCGCCTTGTTGTTGTACACGTCCAGATAATTGGGCGCCGAGAAGATGGTGATCAGCGAGGGAAAACCGGTGGTCTGGCTCTTGCGGTACATGCGGTAGCCGGCGTCCTGGGCCTCGTGCGCCCGTATGATCGACAGCAGGTTGTTGTTCTGCAGGAAGTCGCAGCAGGCGGCGTAGCTGTAGAAATACGAACAGCCGCGCACCGAGTTGTGCGTGTAGAAGTCCGAGTTCTTCTCGTTGCCGAAGTCCTCGAGCGGATCGGACCACAGCAAGTCGCACATGGGGCCAAAGGCGGGCGGCTCCTTGAATCTATCGAGCCGCCTAATGTCCTCCAGCTCGTGTATCTCGGGCGAGAGGCCGCCGTGCACGCAGAGGAACTGCTGGTTCATGAGCGCCGCCAGCGGCAGGCAATCGAACGCATCCATGCACGCGTCGTACACGCGCTCCGAGTACTTGATCTTGCACTCCTGCTTGAAGGTGAAGTACTCGGTCAGATGCCGGCACTCGTGGTTGCCGCGCAGCAGGAACAGCGTCTGCGGATACGTGATCTTCAGCGACCACAAATAGAGGACGCACTCAATGCTAAAGTAGCCCCGGTCCACATAGTCGCCAAGGAACAGATATTTTGTTGTTGCCGGCGATCCTCCGATTTCGAACAGTTTCATTAAATCGTAGAACTGGCCGTGAATATCGCCGCAGACAGTCACCGGCGCCTCAATGTCAATCATTGTCTTCTCCTGGCGCAGCAGCGTGGCGCCCTCCTGGATGATGCGCAGTGCGGCACTCTCCTCTATGCGCCCCTCCAGGATGAAGTGCTGCTTGAGCACATCGTGCTGGGGCTTGCCGGTGCGTGCATCGAATACATCGGAGCAGGTCAATTTGCGGCTGGGTGGAAAGGGTACGCTGTCGACCACACGCTCCTTTGTGGATATTGTGCTCCGTTTTGTGGGGCTCTGTGGGGCAGCGACTGTTGTCGCGCCTCCCTCTGCTACTGCACCGCCGCCACTTGTTGTCGTCCCCGTTGTTGTTGTTGCACCAACCGCATTCTTTTCATGTGTATTATTCACGCTGCTGCTGCTAGCAGCTGAATTTGGCTTTTGATTTTGCGTTGCTGCCGCTGCTGCTGCTGAAGACTGCGACTGCGACTGCGACTGGGACTGGGACTGGCTGCTATTGCTGTTGTTATTCTGTGCTAATGGCGAAGACATTTTAGTTGACTTCGACGACTGCTGCCGGCTGCCGACTGCTGACTGCTGGTCAATGCGACGTCAGACGCACGCCGCCACTGCTCTCTGCCCCCAAGGCCACGGACACCAGCGACCTTCCTCAAATGCTGAAAGTGCTGTGGCTAATGGCTTCAAGCTAATGGCCGGCCAACGGGCAACTACCAACTGCTGGCTGTTAACTGTTAGCTGGTAACTAGTAACTAGTAACTGGTAACTGGTAACGGCTACCAGTGGTCGTCTTCCTCGTCCTTGCCACTTAACTGTCGATTGCTCTGTAATTACAATACAAAAATGTTGTCATTAGATTGTCGCCTATGCATATTTTCGGTACAAATCAAGAGTACATAAACAGAGGAGAGAGGGAGAGAGAGAGAGAAAGAAAGAAAGAAAGAGAGAGAGAGAGAGAGAGAAAGAAAGAGAGAGAGAGAGAGAGAGAAAGAAAGAGAGAGAGAGAGAACGAGTTTGACTAGGATATGCCCTTGAACCCACTTCTTACCAACAATAAATATATTTCAAAGAGTTCAAATAGTTTTTATAGAAGAAGCACAACTTTTTAATGGGAAAAGCATATTACAATTTGTGCTAAGATCCTAAATGGGCTATGGTCCAATTAAGACCCCCCTAAGAACAATAATAGAAATTGTTTTTGTACGGATTCAATGCTGAACTGATGAACCTTGTAATTGGGTGACCATATACAACACTCATATCCTAGAATAGGACGCACAAGGGAAATATATAGTGATGTTGTAATATAGGGATCGTCAAATTCTTGCTTGATGAAACCCAGGACACCAAAGGCTTGTCAAACGGATACCCAAATCATCAACACATTCGGTGCGTTCCAGTTCCAGTAGTTTGCCATTAAGGAAATAGTTATTTAAAGAGGAATATTATTTTCCAGATCTATATTTTCCAGAGCTATATGTCTCAACTATCCCTAAACACTTGCCGGTATTTTATCATATATTGCTTTCTAGTTATGAACAACGTGTCCTGTTCACGTGGCGAGAAGTCAATAGGAAAGTGGGAAAGTGGGGAAATTCCATAAGCTAATTATAAATAAGATAAATAAAAAGCATAAACAATATTAATGATAATGAACAAATTTAAGAACCATTATTATGTTGCAAATAACTTGAATTCCAAATTCCAATTTCAAATTCCGTCAAAAACCAACAACATTTTCACCGATTGCAACGATTTTAATATACGTTAGAAGAAAGATGGCAACACTCGTTGTATGCAACTTCCGATTTCAATCGATTTCAAAGCGATGCGTGTTTTATTGATTTTAGAAAATTAACTTGCAGGATGACCCGTGCGAAGCCGGAACACACCTTCAGTTCTATGCAGATTTGTGTCATTATTTTATTGCATACATGTTGATTTAAATACATGACCAAAATTCACTCTTCTGGGAATTATCTACACAAAACATATGCGTACGCACACTCGAACAAAAAAATTACTCTGAATTTAAAAAATCGCCCTAAAAATTGAGAAAAAATTGTCTTAAAATTAGAAAGGCTTGTCTTAAATCTACAATCCCAAAAATAGTGTTTTTTTTTCTTCTTTTCAGATAATAAATAATAATAGAAAATATTTCCAAAAAAAAGTAAAGTATAAAGTATAAACAATCAATGAAATTTACACGGCGCGGCTCTTCTACTAGAATCTTGCTGTTGCCTGCCCTAGATGCCCTTAGATACTATATAAAGTATTTGTGTGTGTACTTGAAATGCTTAACAATATAAGAATTATTCAATATACACACTCTGGCAATTATTATTAGCCATATATTTGTGTAAAGCTTTGAAAGATCCATCTTGAACTCTGGTCTTCAAAAAGCCAAAACCTTCGATTTTAGAAATGTAATTTCTCTATAATAAGGTGAGGAAAGCTTGGCGCCAAAAGAATGGGGAAATTCGAAAATTTTGTTGTTTTTGTTTGAGTGTATACACAACTGGGTTGCTTCGGGTCTGCCTTGTTGCGTTACAATTTAAAAATTATTAGTTCATATGTATATATATATAAATATAAGTATTTATGTAAGCATGTCTGTACACACACACACACACACACGCACACGCACACGCACACACATAAATGGAGCTGTCTATAAGCAGCAAACGACTTGCAAACACGCACACACACGACGACCAAAATGAACAGCCTGTTTATCAAGCAAGGTGCATAAGCTATTTCAAAAACTCTTACAAGTTGCGTAAATGTCAATCACAATGTCGTCGGCGTCGCCGTCGCCGTTACCGATACCTCAGACCTCACGTGAATCAAATACGTAACACTGCGCGTGTGTGCGTGTGTGTGTGTGTGTGTGTGCAACATGCGCACATTTGTAAGTTTGTATGAAAAAGTAATCGAATCCCTTACGGGCGAGCAAAAAGTGCAAGAGCAATTATGCGAAAGGCTGAATACAAAGCGTTGGCATACTTCATTTAATTGAATAATAATCGACGATCGAAACACAAGAAATCGAACGATTAAGGCAAACGAATTATGGAGTGCTACAATTTGCGGAATCGTTTACGTGCTGCTCCAATTTGCGAGAGCGGCATATTTTTCCATTGTTCCATTGCGAACGGACTCATAATGACTCATCGCTTTCAGAAGTATTTAGAAATTTTCATTTGAAAAAGAAAATAAGAATAAAAAAAAAAAATACAAACAAAAAATAAAGAACAGCAAAGATGCCTTTGCAATTATTTTATCTTTTCTGAATTGTTTTCGAATTATTTTTCCATGCTCATTAATGCAAACTATTTATTGTATTTGCGCAATCGCAATTATTTTTAATATGTTCCGTATTGTTTTTAAATTGTTATATCCTGCTAATTAATGCAAACCAGCCTATAAGTAAATATAGTTTATTTATTTATGTTCACGTGCTACAGCTTTTTGAGTTGCTTTGAAACGTTGAGGAGCAATAATTGTTTTGAATGCTTGTAAAAGTAATTTAAACTAATTACAGTTCATAAATAATAAAATGTAAGTGTTTTTTGCAGTTAAACCCCTATAAACCCTACCAGCTAAACAGCGGAAAAATCTTTAACAAGCGTTAAATTTAAAAGTATTTTTAGGTTAGCATTATTAACGAACATCTGTTGGTCTGTTGGTCTAAACGATTCCCGCCTTCTTTTTGCAAAAAAAAAATGTCATTCTTAACAAATTTAACACAACAATTAAAACAGTTATAAAAAAAACTAACATTGCTAAAAACATTTTTCGTAATTTAGAACACCTAAAAATGCAAACGGAAGATTTTTGTCAAAAAAACGGAAACAGAAAAGTTTGGCGTAAATTGCAACATAAATATTCTTAAGAGTATAATTTAGCTTCAAGTTGAACACTTAACACAATGAGAATTCTCAAAAGCCCGTCCACTATTAAATTACGTATAAACACAATTTTTACCCAACTGCCGATTGGCAACATAAAGCAACAAAATACCCAGAAAGCTGAACTTTTCGAAACATTTTCATTTTACAAAGTAATTGATCGATATGTGGAATGTGTTTGAAATGCGAAAAATAAAGGAAAATATAGAATATCAGTTGTACGGAATTTCGTTTATTTTTCTTTCGATTCATTTTTAAAGATACATATGAAAAGTAATTATGCATGCAACATTCGACTTATTTTCTGTATTTTAAGTTGCTGTTGTTGAAGCCCACCTGCAAACTCGTTGAATTTTAACTTGAAAACTGGTTAAGTTTTTGGGTCAAATGTTGTTTAAAAAAAAGTTGAGTTGGTCAAATATATTTATAAATAATAATTATTGAGCTTGCTTGTCATAAAATTATCAAAAGTTGCTTTAAAAAAAAAAGGACAAAATATGAATAAGAATGAAAATATATATTTTATGTAGATGTATATATATATATATCGAATTTTCGCAGTATTTCTATGGCTTTCTGAGCACAGGTGGGGAACACATAAACCGATGAATGAAACTAGTTTTTATCCGATCGACTTTAAGCTAATTTTTAAAGAGCAACATGAAAATTGACTGAAAACAGAATGTTGTTTGAATTAGAGGTCTGCAAGAATTATATAATGCATTCAATGCATTCATTCATTCATTCGAATTCCCTTGTTTGGAATACAACTTCGCTCAAATTCATATCAATTCATAAATTCAAGGACTGTATTGGATTGGAATTCTGTGGGTATTTAATGTGATTGAAGGCTGCTTTTCCTATTTCGACACTTTTAATAAGATGAACGGAGTTATCGCTTTATTTAATAACGATCATGTGGAGGCAATTCAATTGTCTAAGGAGATGTTTACTTAATAACGTGGAGTTTTATAGATCTTCCCCTTAGAATCTAAAACGCTGATGTTTATATAAGTTTTAAGTATTGTGGAGCAGCACTCAATGAATCCAAGGATGTACGTCAATATAACCGTCTTATTTTTTATTATTTTAAAACTAATCGTTCGACTGAGATTATACAGTTCTCTGCTGTGTTTTGAGTTTATGTTTGGCCACGTTTGGAGGGCTACTCGACCGCAGTTTGCATTTCGCCATGTGTCGTTTGAGCTGCGTATATTTTCTTCTTTTATTCACAATAAAGCCAGAGTAGCCAGAGTTATACATATACCTTCCTTATCAGTGAGTAGGGGTTATAATGTGCCTTTTCTAGCTAGCTCATCAGCCTCGCTGTAGGCAATTGCCTTCAATATTCTGGTGCCCGGCACCCATGCAGAGATTTGCGACAGCTTGTTACCGATAACAAGTTTGGCTGGCTGTCAATATATGTATATATATATATTAGCATTATGTGTCTTTTTATTATTTATTATTTATTTTGAAATTCCACAAGTTATCACCTCTACACACCTATTTCACTGTCCAGATGTGAATGTGTTAACGTGTTGCAGCAGCTACGAGAGTATCTCGCAGTCGAGCACACCCGACGTTAACGCAGGCGACGATGATTTTAAGATTTCACAGTGACAACGAATGTATGCAAATAAGTAAAAACTTTGAATTTGCACGTAACAATATCGGTCGTAACAGAAATGACAAATAATATCATGCATGCTCTATTGAGCGTTACCCGATTTTGAGCAATGCATCATCTGGGCTCATTTCTCAAGAGTTGCTCTAGAAACAAAAGCTTTGTTTTCGATTTGTAGAAATTCAGCTTTTGTCGCCAACTGAAACTGTATATGAATTTGACAGCATCGAGAAGCGGTAAAACGGCAACGTGCCTATGCAAATTTTGATGCCCCACCACACAACAA